TATATATATATATATATATATATATATATATATATATATATATATAAAATTGTTAAATATGTTATTCTTTTATATTACAATATTATCCAGACTATGAGATGGTATTTTGATGAAAAATTGGGATAATCAATTGGGACAGAGATAGAATCAACACTTCTTTTTCAAGTAAAAAACATAATATGTATTTTTTACCTTAATATGTATCATATATACACTAATAAAAAATGGAAACTGCCTTATGATCTAATGCAATGTGACGTTATAATAAGCAGTAGTAATATAATACTTAATATATTCAAACATATTTTTAAGTTTGAAGCCTTAAATTAGAAGCTACCAAAACACTGTAATTTTCAAACAAACAATTATATTACGGGACATTGTTGAGAATTGTCACTGTTGCTTTATGTGCCTCATTTATGTGTGATCGGTTGTCCGTATTTATATTTAGTTTAATCGTTCGTAGTTCGTACTATAATTACTGCTCGTTATTATATATAAGGGGTTTCCCTTTTCGCAGAAATTACATTTTCTTTTGGAGTGACAATAAGTTCGTAAATCCGCTATTTGATTGAGAATAACGGGAGTAACGATTCCGCAAACGATTAACTCGCTCTCCTTTGCTCATGTATAGCCTTATCACATTACCATTGCGCGGTGTCTTTTTTCTGAAAATGTACAAATTTCATGTCGAGGGAGAACATCGATAAGTATATGGAAGGTTATTTTGCGCGCGATTTTTCGAATTATCTAAATATATACGGAGTGTGTATACTCTCTTTCATATTCTTGTCCAGGTACTACTTCATCGTTTAAGGTTTCTCACCCGTCACTGCAGCCGTACCGCACTATAAGGTCGCAGCGAAATGTCAATCATGATTTTACTTTTGTGGTACATGCGCTTTGTTGAAATCAATTGGTTATCTTCATGTATACCACAACTTATACTAGATAGGATAAGACGTGTCACAACAACTCTCTTTACTCATTCGTGCATTCATAAATTGTTGTACATTTTGATTGATTGTTACAAGGTCTGGATAAGTAAAGCGCGTAAAGTCGAAACAAAAAAAAATCCTTATTTGTCGTTTCGTGTAGAACGATAAAATTATATTATCGATACTGACAGTAAATAATAAACTACAGTGAGCCATGTGTGTGTGGCAAGATTTTCGATAATGAGAAACAAGAATGCATTTCCATTCGCATCTGAAACATTGATCGACTGATATTTCTGATTGTATAGTATTCGTATACGTTAATATGCATTGTTGCGTCAGTACGCATATGAATAAAAAATATTCTCGGTTGATATGCAAAAATGTTGTAAGTTTCATAAGTTTCTTAACCAGTTCTAGCATACGTATTTATAATACATGTAATCCAATATATACGCTTATTACATTCCTATTAAGGTTATTGTGATTATTCACCGCGGAACTCTTGATTGATGCCGTCAGAAGCGAAGAAATGCGTATCTAAAATTCCTACAATGTATGTCGAAATAAAAAGATACATCCAAAATATAACATTTATAATCGATTAATGACATACAACTTTCTTTTTTTATCTATCTTTTCCCACGTTAATTTGACGATTATTTATTGATTGTTAGAACAAAAAGAAAATATTCGGAGTATTTCAGAGGTGTGCTTAATTCCATTGCAAGAGTCTTTTTGGATATATCTTTATTATTATTATTATTATGACTTTGTAAGATTTTTGAACATGCATTTTTTCACTTCTGATGTCATCAATCAAAATGGCTACGGTGAGTACTCATGAGCCTTAGAGGTCGTTTAAATGCAGTTGCAGTTACGTTTTAAAGTTATAGCATTAGTCTGTGAATCGATCATGTATCTATTTCCTTCACGTAAACTAGTGAAAAATGAAAAGTTTTATTGCATTTGTCAATGAATATTTCATGAGTTCACGCGAAGGAAATATATTAATAATCGATTCACAGATACAGATAGTACTACGATTTTAAAACGTAACTGCGATAGGTGAGAAATGGTACGTTAAAATTCTTGCATGTATTTTCAAATAAAAAGATTTGACTGAAAGAACACTTCAGATTGCTTGAGCATATATTAACAGTCAATAAATAGCCGTAAAATTAATGTGACAAAATTATGAGAAAGTATAGGTTAAAGAGGAAAGTTGCAGATTAATGATGTTAATTTTACGGCTGTTCATTTATTGTCAAGCAAAGAGGATTGTTTTTAGAGTATTTTACAAGTGTATTCATATAATCTAAAGTATTCTCTCACATAAATGTTTTTATTTAAAAATAGCACGCAAAACTTTCAATCATACGTTTTCTTGCTTTTGACGATATGAATCAAGCATTCCGCATCGAGAGACTAGCCTTAATAAACAACCAAAATAAATTTCCTAAGCATTATATCAATCGCTATTGAACGCAACTGTGTGCTGTGACATAATAAAACAACAGATTTATTTCAACTTGTGGAGAATGCAAGAGAGAAGTTTGCACGACATCTCGCATGTGACATCATAATCCAATATGGTTATAGCAAGGAGCCAAGAGCCCTCAATTTACTGTATATCCTGTCCCACAGAACTTATTTTTATTAGCAACAAATCGTCTTTCACATCACTTCCATGCCATTTTGTGTGTTTTCTGTAAAGCCTAATGTAGATGTGGGCGCATCCTGTGAGGTTTCTTCCAGAGCTTGCGCGTCCATGCCCTCGGGGACAGTGCTGGCCGTCGTAGTGGCACAATCGTCCCAATTGATCTTAAATCTAGTAACGCGCGGTTTATCGCCCAATATATTCCTCTGAACCTTATCGAATTGTGGCTGTGGGGGTGGATTTTCCCTGAGTTCCGCGTCCGTATATTCGTTATTGATGAAATAACCGACGCGAACGAATTCGTGGCCTCTGTAGGAGCAGGTCAGCAATACGACAGTTACACCCAAAGCATCATTTACTGGAATCCTACTTACATCTGGTGGATCAGCCTGGAAGAAAATATAACAACGACCTAGAATCTATGCTACATGTTAATGTTATAAGGATATATTGCCCATATAGTTTCTGCAAAAAGTCGCTGAAAATTAAAAATTACAATAATAATAATTGGTCTGTTCTTTTCAGCTGCACTGCTGAATCGGTGCAATAAGTTACAGTCAGACAAGTATATCTTTTCTCATTCTAATTTATTGCACTAGTTCAGCAGTGCAGCTGAAAAGAACAGACCAAATGTATTTTATTTTTTGTAAAAACATATAGTATATACGTATATATAGTTGAATAACAATCTAATATTACTTTAACATCACATTTTTATAGTTTATTGACCTTTTTTATATTATTTCTGACTCTTAAATATTTATCTCTAAACCACAATGAAACTTTGTATACATCATTTTGAATACTTGAAGTATATGTTTGCAAACATTGAGATTTCCATCATTATGTTATCTTTCATTTTTTGTTATCAAATATCTTTTCCTTCATTACAGATAACATATTTCCATTACAGTATAGTTTTACTCTTTAAAGTGCATAATTCATGGAACATTCTAGTAACTTTTTTTTAATGAAATATTGTCAAAAACACTCTAAGTAGTACATTTATAAGGTTTCAACTGCCTAATCCTAAGTGATCCCTATTGGTATCCATTGATACTTAAAGAGTTAAAATAAGTTATATCCCAAGTAGCAGGATGACATATAATGATAGATTATTGATGTATTATCAATATTATTATTAATGTGATTAAAAGTTCACTTAATGTCATTAATGTTTGTTGGACCTACACTTCAATGTGAAATAACTTTTGATTCAGACTCCGATACAATGTTAAGTTATTTGTGATCAGTTTTAGAAACAATATTAACCTCTAATTTCTTCAAGATTGTTTCATACTTTTTTAAATATGAGCAATATACTTTTAAACAGAACAAAATAGATCTGTTTAATTGAACTAGTGTTATACTTGAACTTTATTCCTTTTTCCTCTAAGTGCAGTCTAGTTAAGCTAAGAACTTTTAATCCAGATTCTAAATCAATGTCAAATTGTAATTAATTTTAGAAAATGTGCAATGTAGATAAACCTTTAATTTTTTCAAAATTGCTTCATTATTTTTCAGATATGAGCAAGGTATCCTTAAATAGAACAAGTCGGTTCTTTACAGCTAAGCTAGTTCTTTTTTCTTCAATGCAACATTACATATTTGTTTCACTCTAATGGCAAAAAGTGTAAGCTAGTTCAGCTAAGAACTTTTCACTCAGACTTTGATACAATGCCAAGTTGTTTGTGACAGAGTTTCAAATGTGTGTAACATAATCTTTTATTTCTTTAAAATTGCTTTATTATGCTTATAATAAATCCTTAAACAGTATAGGTGATATACCTTAAAGTCTGTTCTTTTTTTAGCTGAAATAATGCTATATTGAACTTTGTTCGCTTTTCTCTCAATGCTGTATTACATATTTGTTTCACTCTAATATAAAAAAAGTTCAAGTTAGTTTATCTAAGAAGAACAGATCTGTTGTGAATTTATCTCAGTTATAGTAAATCACTCAAAGATGATTTGTCACGTTACCTGAAATACAAACATGTGTCTTCCTTCTGGAATCGGTCCAACATAAATGGTATCTAAGACTTGATCGAACTCTTCTGACTCTGCGCTGCCCACATATATCATCTTCCATTCCAGATCTGAAAGAATACCAGCACATTGCTCATAGTGTTTTGATGCGTGAGGAACCTCAACGAAAAACATCAACTGCAAAAAGCGCGAAGCTTCACCAGCAGGTGATCACCCTCCAAACCCGAACATACGTCGTACGCGTTATCATCGTAGACTCCATTTCTCGCAGTTAAACGTGTCGTCGGATACTCGCGGTCAAATTCACGGCCTTGAGACCCGTGACATCACTATTATAAAATTAACCTAGAGACGTGCGTCCGAGCCGCGTGTGCTCGACTCAACGAAAATGAAATCCCCGTCCACGCGAATGAATCGCGAAACGCGGGCGCCTACCTTCCTTGAGCTCCTCGATGCACTCGAATGTGACCTCGAACTGGAACGGATTCAGAAACGGCGACGGATTGTCAAGGACCGCAACGTTCGCGAGCTGAACCTTTGCCATGGTAGAGAAACGTCCGAGGTGGCTGGGATCCTTCCTCAACGATCGCTGACACGTCTTATCTCGACGGAAGAGACGATTCCGCTCGCAACTGCGCTACTTCTGACCGTCCCGCGCGACTATTCACTCTGCAACCGGGGAACTGCGTGTCGCGGGATAAACAGCTTCATCGCAGCACGCACGGGATAGTTTGGCGGCAAACTAACCGAAGAGCGCTTCCGGTGATGCCGCGGCGGCCTACCGCCGGCGACGACAGCTGTTTGTTCGATCGTCATCCGGTGTCCGGCGTGACGCGCGTCGAGACGGGGGCGACCGAGAAATTCGCGTTTAGGAATTACGGAGCCGCGTGTGCCCGTGGAACGCTGCATTTTCACGGTGCGTTGCGACGGGCTCGTTTGTTTACCACTTGAACATCGCTCGTCGCGCGCTTCCGAAGCGAGCTTCGCGTATCGACGGCGAGTCGTATGGTCCCAGGAATAAAAATCGGGTGTTCGCGCGGAATCTCTGAGGTCGATCTTGCGGGAGAATAAGATTGTGAAGAGTAGCGTGTTTATTTAGAACCTGAGCAATTTTCGCCTCGGTTTCATGAGGGAGTGCACGTTCGAAGAGCACGCACGCGACAGAACGCGCGCTGCGAACGCTGACGTCCAATGAGAAGTATGGATATGACACGAGGGAACGTTGAGCGCCTCTTTATCGATGGTATCGTTGGGATGGTATTGCAGGGTACCTATTATAGACTTCTTCGGAATCAATTCCGATCGGAATAATGGTGCGAACTCATGCAGCGGAATAGCGGAGCGCGGAACGAGAGCGGAACCAATCACGAGCGTTTCGCAGTTTTCGTTGCACGGATTTTCAATCCCTAAATACCCATGCAGCGGAATGAACGTAAGCGGAATGAGTAGCACGTAATTAAAATGACTTTTAAATTAATGTTTTATTACTCGTTTTTATTATTATGTACATAAATATTTAATTAAATGCGTTTTCTATTGGAAACATTGACTGAAAATGTTAAAATCTATAAAATAAGTTTTAAGGCGGTTGTAACTTATTGAAATAATAGATGCGTTCAGCAGAGAAAGCTGCTTTGCAACTGTTGTAAAAATTCGTGAATCTAATTGAAGTATGTTCTTAATTTTGATTGAATCCAAGAGCATGTACCAATCAGATTCACGAATTTTACAACAGTTGCAAAGCAGCTTTCTCTGCTGAACGCAGCCATTGGGCGCATTCAGTAGAAAAAGCGCTCAGTGAGCAATCAACGATTATTGGTTCTTGCTATTAGATCCCTAAATCTAGACCAATTACATTGACAAATTACTCAACTGTTGTGCAACTGTTGAGTCTGCTGAATGCAGCCATTGACTCGCGATTAGTTGAGCAAAATCCGCGATGTGCTTATTCCGCTCCATGGGGACTTAAGAACTCTTGTTTTAATGTTAAAAATGATGAATTTGTACATATATATTACGCATTCATTGTTAAATTCATGGCATAGCGGTTATGATGTGCTGAATATTAATAAACTTGGCCAGCTAGATTGTTTGTTGTTCTTAATTTGAAGTTATATGGGCCCACGTCTATTTATGATAGAAGTATGCATATATTACACAGTCTGCGACAAAACTATTCCGCAGATTCCGCTAAAAACTGCTGAAAAACGCGGAACACTTATGATTGGTTCCGCTCTTGTTCCGCGTTCCGCTATTCAACTGTATGAGTTTGCACCCTGATTCCGTTTCCCCCAGAAAAGACAATAGAAATCTAGGAAATAACTGAATGTTCCCAATCAGAATTTATTCCGATCGAGAACATTCAATTATTTCCTAGATTTCTATTGTGTTTTCTAGGGGAAACGGAATTATTCCGATTGGAATTGAAGAAGAATTGGAATTCCGAAGAAGTACATAATAGGTACCCTGATTAGTGTTTTCCATAGGGTGATATTGGATGTGTTCGGAAAACACAACAATTATGCAAACGTTCAGTAATTATCGTCTTTAATTTTTTGAGATTCATAAACAAATTTGAAAGAATATTTCAATGACAGCTCACTGAGCACTCACTCAACCGTTTTCTGTTTTCTGAACGTAGTTCATAGTCGGATTTTGTATTTGAATCGTCCAAGAATCTGCAGAGTCATAGGAGGTGAAGACCTCTCGCGGAGAGCTACGAAATAGAGAGCTGCGTTCCGAAATTCACTACTAATACTGAAAATCTATAGTTCATTGATCTGTTCTTTTCAGTTGCATTGCTGAATTGGTGCAATAAATTAAAGTGAGACAAGTATGTTTTCTCATTCTAACTTATTGCACCAATTCAGCAGTGCAGCTGAAAAGAACAGACCAAGTGTCATGTATACTATAGAATTTGAATACTGGCAGTGAATTTCGGAACGCAGCCTATGCTTTGTTTCAAATAGTTTAAACGCGGTTTAAGGACCGTGGCACACAGAAAAACTTAAAAAACCTTCTAAACTAGTGCAATGAAAGAAAGTATATTTGTTTCACTCTTGCCCTTGTTTCTGCCAATTTTGGTTAACCGGTTGGTTATTTCAACGGAATTGACCAATGGAATTTGTTAATTCTGACAAAAAGAAGTGCGATTGATCAATTGCGTTGAAATAACCAACCGGTTAAGTTGACCAAAGCAGAGAGAAGCATGAGAGCGGCCACCAGCTTGATTTCAATGACCAGAGTTAGGCGCATTTTCGAGACGTCATCTAACAAAGTGTGCCTTTAAGCGGGAAGCACACACTCATGCATAAAGGCATGATGCACAACGCATAAGAAAATTGACCAATCAGAGTCCTTTAACTTTATCATGACAATAAAAATGAGGACTCTGATTGGTTCATTTCCTTATGCATTGTGTATTATGCATCCTGCAAGAGTGTGTGCTCCCCGCTTTACTAAAGGTACGGTCCAGCGGGCGCTGCAAATGTTTTGTAGCGTTTTTACTTCTTTCTCTTTCTTCATTCGAATCCGAGGAATAGAACAAGAGGGAGAAACGCTACGCAGCATTTGTAGCGGTTGTTGGACCGCACCCAAAGTTCGTTAGGCGCATTTTTGCGGTGGTAACGATAAAATATGCCTGATTCGTACCCGTTCTACTTCTATACAATGATAGTAAGTTAGAAAAGGACAGATGTCCAATCGCTCTATTCTTGTTTCACCACTGATGAGCGGACCGCACAACGTTGGTCGAAGCGAGCTAGCGGCGAACTTAACGCAAAGCTAGATCATCCCTCATTAGTCTCTCGTCTTTCTCGCGCTGCGTTCTGCGTAATTTTGTAAGGAAAAAGGATTTGGAAACTGGACAATATGAAATAACAAATAAATATATAAATTTAAACATGCCGCTGATATTTTTTGCTTATTTCTCGGCAGCCACAAAAGATATCGATGTGATTCAAAGAAAACAAAGTTCTCCATAATTTATTCTGTTGGAATTCAGAGAGTTTACAATAATACTAATAATACTAATACTATAATAATAGTATTAATAACGATTCGTTAAATAAGCCGTGGAAACAGGCGTATTTTTCGATGTTGCTGACAGCCTTTGTCTTAATTGTCGCCTCAATTGTCGCGAAGTCGCGGTATTAAAAATCGGCACGGAATAATCTAGAAAATAACGCGGCAGCTCCCGATGTGCTCTTCTCGACGATTGAGAATGTATGGCGTGACGTTCGAGCACGTTTTCGCACACGCGTATTTACATAACATGGCCTCCCAAGCAGAGCTGGGAAATCTTGCCCTTGACGTTTTACTCCTTCCACTTCTCACACAGAGATGCTTCTGTCCGTCCGTGTGCTCGGCCGAGTTCGGCGCGCCGAGCGAGAGAGACAATGTCTTCTCTTTTTCTCGCTCCACATCGCGTGGCTGCGAAGAGGCTCAGTCAGCAGCACGTACTGTCGAGCGGGCCGTTACGACAGTACGTTTACCTAGCCTTTGTGGAACCTAAAGTTTTTGTTAGAACCGTTGCCCAGATATTGTTATTATTGATTATTCGATTATCATTATTTCGTTATTTCCATTCGCAGATATTATTATCACTGCCATTTAATATTTGAGTATTATTACTTCTTTATTTGATTATTATTTAATTTATTCGCTTATTATTTAATTATGGCTTAGGAAAGCAACTTGGGCATGCCGTTACGACAATTTCTTTACTTCGTCTTTAATCAGTTATTATTGCCGTTGCCCGGTAATTGTTATTTATTATTATTACTGATTATTCGATCATCGTTATTCAGTTATTATCCGCTCGCTGCTATTATCACACGATTATCGATCAGGTATTATTATCACTACCACTTGTTATTCGAATATAATTACTTTTTTATAATAATTATAATAATATCTATTTGACAATCGTGTGATAATATCCGCTAATGGATAATAACAAAATAATGATGATCGATAATCAGTAATAACAATACCTGGGCAACGGCCCTAACAAAATCTTTAGGCTCCACAAAGCCTAGGTAAACGTACCATCGTAACGGCCCGTTCATGCCGCTGACTGAGCGGCGCTTGGAAGGACGCGCGGTTGGGTTATGTAAACACACGTTCGCAAGCATATGCTCAAACGTCACGTCATAACACTCTCAACCGTTGAGACGAGTACATCGAGAACTGCCGCGTTATTTTCTACATTATTCCGTAACAATTTTTAATACCGCGTTTCAACAATTCGCGACAATTGAGATGATAATTAAGACAAATTGAGGCGCGTACTCCTCACGCGAGCAGGTGTTGCGGGCTTTATCGCGACAGGTAATTGCTGCGTTTCATTTACTTTTTTACTTGTTAGATGGAGAAATGTCGCGAACGACTTCCTCAATGCCGATTAAATATTATTATCATCTGTTTATTATTCGAGTATTATTATTTCTTTATTCAGTTGTCATTTAACTATTTTTATTAGAAAGTAACTCGAGCGTGCCGTTACGACGATTTCCTTACCTCGTCTTGCTGTCGTATGTAATTAATTGATACTACCGGACATTCTTATACGGTTGTTGATCAGACATTATTATCATTATCTATTAATTATTCGGGTATTATTACTTCTTTATTCGGCTATCGTTTAATTATTTTTTATTGCATATTGGGAAGGAACTCGAACGTGCCGTTACGACAATTTCTTTTCACCGTCTTGCTGTCGCGTGTAACTATTTGATACTAATTTATTAAATTACTAATTGAGACAGGCGCCTCACGCGGTAATATTTTTTTCGCGTGAATTTTGAACAAATCTTTGTCTCTATCGTCACAATTTTCATAGTTTTGGATTTTTTATTTACGTTCGCATTTGCGATTATGCGTTTCCACACAGCAGAAATGTCCAAAATATATCATAGGGATATCCTAAAGGGATATATTTGGGATATATATACGTAAATATATACATAAATATATACCATACATAATTGTTATTTAATTGATGTCACATTAAAGGAGACGAATTATTGACATTGAGTTGTTATCTTATAGATACGTTCCAAAAGTTAACTTCAAGAACGTTAACCAATAGACAACCTTGTTCTACTTGGGATATTCGGATTCTCGCGCATGCGCAGTGATACTTATCCAGTGTTGGGATTCTGTAACTCGTTATTGGAGTTAACGACAGTTTCGTTATCGTTGTGCAGCTTTTGTATACCGTAGAAAAGTTGCGCAACGATAACGAAACTGTCGTTAACTGTCAATAACGAGTTACAGAATCCCAGCACAGGGCTGCTATTTCGTTCCCGCCTACCGACAGTTGTCGAATCGGTAGGCGTCGTTACGCAGCTTTTTTATACTGTGGAAAAACTGCGCAACGACGCCTACCGATCCGATAGGGAGCGGTGCACTTGAACACGGTGCATTTGGACACAGCCAATCACAGCACCGTGTGATTAGAGATATTTGTAGGGTCCCTTGGAACAGCGACTTGTGATTGGACTGTGTCCAATTGCCCCGTGTCCAACTGATATACACCCATCCGATAACTGTCGGAACCACGGTAACGGAATAGCAACCCTGCGTTTGGACCGAACGTCGGTCATATTACTGCAGGTTAGGTCATATAAGCTGCGTTCCGAAATGCACTGCCAGTAATAAAAATAGTAAAAGTAGTAAAAATAGTAGTAAAAGTAGTAAAAATCTATAATTTATGTTATAGATTTATACGTATATTATAGAATTTCAATACTGAGGCAGTGAATTTCGGGACGCAGCCAAAAACGGGTCTATCACGTGGTCAAAAAGTCGCCAAGGCATTGACTAATATTGCGACTAGAAACTAGAAAATAGACTGAGCTCTAATTCCAATCTTTAATCTCAATCTTTACTTTCTGTGTTCTGATTGACCAAAATCAAATCTTCAATCTGTAGCTCTGGCCACTAAAATCAAGCTGATGGCCGTTCGCAGGCTTCTCTCTGACCAAAGTCGATAGACGGACATCTGATTAATTGCACTTTTGACTGATAGTGCAGAAGTTGCTCAAACAGATCTCATGTAAATCGGCCGAAAGGCGGGTCGCGCAGAGGGCGCGGTCGCGTCGGGTCGCTCAATCGGAAAAGGAGGGAGCGAGCGTGGCGACAGAGCGAAATGGACGGACGGACGGACGTCGGCGCGTAGCAGAAGACAGCGGCGGCCATTTTGATCCTGACATTGTCGTAGCTACGGCGGCTCGACGGTGCTCGCTTGCCGTGGGGAATCTTCTGCTCGAGGGTGGATCGACGACGAAGACGACAACGGCGGCGGCGGTGACGACGACGACGAGGCGGCGTAGGCGACGGCGGGCGGTAACCGTGGAGTTTCGGTGTGTAGTGCGCATTAAAGAGATACGCGCGCCAGCTGTGTGCGCGAGATAACGATAAGAGAAAACAGCGAACAAACGTCAGTGATAGGTCGTGACTGTTCTCCCTCGACGACGGCGACGGTGGTGGCTGCGACGGCGGCGGCGGCAACGGCGGCAGGGGGGAGGAGGAGGAGGTGTGGTGTGACGGGTGCTCTCGCGCGAACGATCTGAACTGCGATCGCCAGTCGCGCACGGTCGAGTGAAAAGGAAACGGGTCGCGGTTGACGGGCCAGAGAATCGACAAGGCTGAACGTCGGGCACAATCGGAGTGACGCTGACAACAGCGACGGGAAGGACAAACGAGACGACGACAACGCCGACGAGGAGGAGAAAGACGACGATCAGCGAGAGCGGAACGAGGACGTCGACGAGCAAGAAGAAAACGACGACGACGGCGGCAACGTTCAAGAGAAGCGCGACAGTCGTGATACGACGCTCTCGTATACGACGGTCTACTATCGCCACCACCTAGACGGCAACGTCGGCGCATCACGTCCGTTCCTCTCCCCGTAGGAGGCCCTCTCGCCGCGACGAGGGCACCGTGTTCGCCGTTGGTACCGTAGCGGTGCACACACAGTCACGCGCCACCGCGTACATCAGCGCCGCGGGATGGAGAGGCGAGCCGCTTTTGTGCTGCTGGGGATGCTATATTTAGCGGGCACCCTCGTCACGGTCCAGGCAGGTGAGTCGCGCACTGCTATGTCTCTCTCTCTCTCTCTCTCTCTCTTTCGCCCGCTCTCTCGCTCTCTTCGTCCTCTACTCGACTCGCTCGCGCGTTCGTTTGCTTTGCTTGCTTGCTTGCTTGCTTGCTTGCTTGCTTGCTCGCTTGCTTGTTTGCTTGCTCGCTCATTCGTTCGTTCTCGCCGATCGTTTATTTGTCTCTCGCTGTGCCGCGCCGTCGCGCACGCGAGACGCATTCCTTCCCCGTTGATCCCCCGGTATTATCGGCTCTGGCCCCCGTCGTCGTCTTCGTGATCTGTGCTGACGTCGATCGCACGGTCGTCCTGGCTTCGATTCCTCGCTTTCTAATCCCGATACGAGGACGTCGACGGCGACCACGTCGGGAGGACGACCCACGTCGTCGGTCGATAACGGCTCACGCGATTCCGTGTCCCGCACACGGCAGATGCTAATTGACGTACACGATGATGGATAATGCAAATCCAAAGCGGAAATTGCCGGCATCGGCCGCGAGTGTGGTATTGCCGATTCGCAACACGGATAACTTGTGTCATCGTTCATTGGAAGAGCGCGAGATGCGCAGCGCTTGAGCGCGCTTGCGACACGACAGCGGCACGACAGCTCTTTAAATACGTCCTTTCTATTGTTACGCGTGGTTCCCGTTGTCTGACGACGTCGCGTCGATAACAGCCGAGCCGCGGCATATCGAAAACGCATTATTTGCGACTGTGTTGTCTTTTTTTTTTACTGTCAACACACGCGCGCGACTCCCCGTCGAGCGTGCACTTGTGCCTTGGGATCTCGCTTTTTTTTCCGACATAGCCGACCGGAAAAAAACTTTCCGTGATTGCTGAACTTTGCATTCGAAAGCGATTCATACCGACACGCACACCGCTCATCCGGGACTCTGACTAAAAGCCTGAATCACACGGCGAACAGTCGGATCTTAATTGACTCCGACTTAACCGCTTCATTGTGCGTAGCTGCATAAATTATCGGCATATTCGTAGTGAGAATATAAAGGCCGCAGTGAACGGTAAGAAATGAATGTTGCTTGCTGTGCTCTTCTCCAAACGCGCACGACTCGAAATAATTTCAAAATTGAAGTCATCGGAGAAAGCTGCTTCGCAATCGTTAGAAAATTCGTGAGAATCCGACTGGTGCGTACTCTTAATTTTGGCTGAATCTAAAAGCATATACCAATCAGATTCAAGAATTTGTAGCAGCTGCAAAATAATGCTTTCTGCCGAGCGCAGTTATCGAGTAAAAATATCTGTTATTATAGAAATTGTAGTCAAGCATCCGTCTTCGTGATTGCTTTCAGTTTGTGTTTGATTTCTTCGATGTTCTCATAGCTAAAAGTCATTTTTCTGCTCGAGCTCGGTGATTTTCAACGCGATTGTTTTCGACACTTTTATCAAATAACCACACTCGACAAGTGCATAGAGAAAATGTTGTAGTGAAAATTACATTGAAATTTATTATATTTCTTTTTACAATGTTTTCTGTAAAGCTAGATTATATTGAAATTGTATTGGAATTGTAAAGATAAATGTCTATAGAAATAGTGAATTTGTTCTCTATCTGAATATATGATATAAAAAACATTCAAATAATTATAATAATTTTTTAGTAAAGAGTCAAACATGCTTAACATTTTCAAATAAATATATAGTGATTTCGTGGTCATAATTTTTTTCTGTATGGTCAGATTACCAAAATTTTGTCGTAATTTTTACTTCAATATTTTTTGCGTTTAGGGATCCATATACTGAAAGAAAAATGATTCAAAAAATAAAAGAATATTTATTCCATGAAACATCGCCACTGAAGATACGCCCCTTGGACGCCCTAAAAATACATACCTGGTGAATACACTCTTTAAATGCGAGATATCTGATTTTACCATACGGAAAAGAACGCCGTTGAGTCAGCAGAATTGATCAACAGCGCGCGGTGTGGTTAGAATTAATCTTCTTAATTCAATTGCAATGTCACCGAAACCAATACACGAGTTATCAAAACAACATATCTGTTTCACTAACCTTGGTTATTAATTGCAAACTAATTCCAATATAATAACATTGCGTAATAGAGAGGATTTATTCCGCTCAACTGTTCCAACTGCCGACCAATTTTATCGACTCAACAGCACTTTTTTCTGTGCACTTTCCCGTTTTATATCAGATGCTCGCTCGCACGTAGCGCGAGCAACACGAAGGAAGTAGACGGACGCATTTAGCGCTAAATGCACGATGAGAAAATACCGGGCTTACAGTTCTAAATACGAAAATGGAACATCTCGGAGCGCAATTTCTGTTCGGTGCGATTACGGATTATAATTTTCTGGAGTCGCGGAGTTACACACAAACACATCCACACATGCACGCGCACACACACAATACAAAATAAACACGCACGCACATATACACACGAGGAATAAAACTGTCGCGTGTACGCACAATGATCACAACCGAAATTTTTTTAAGATCTTTTTTAAGAATCGTAATGAGTGCGAAATGTCGCGTCACAATTTTATATCGCAAATATGATTTTAAATCGCGCGCGATTTTATATCGCTAACGCGGTTTTAATCGAGAATCTCAGTCATGATGGGAATCGTAAATTTAAATAAATATTAAACATATTAAGGCTCCTGAGTATTCGCATCATCCATTTCTTTTTAATGACGTCAGGAGCGAAAAAACGCACGCTACAAATTCTTGCAAAATACATCGAGATGAAAAAATATATTTACAAAACGACACTTACGATCGATTAAGCAAATCTCTAAAATATTTTTCTTTTTTTCTAATAATTAATAAATAATCGTAAAATTAATATGACAGAATAATAAGGAAATTAGGTTAAAAAAAGATTACATATTACGTTAATTTTATGATTATTTATTAATTGTTAAAGTAAAAGGAAAATGTTCAAAATATTTTAGAGGTATGCTTAATCGAATGCAAATATCATTTTGTGAACATATTTTTTTATGTTAACATATTTCGCAAGAATTTTTAGCATGCGTTTCCTCGCTTCTGACGTCATTAAAAAGAGATGGACGATGCGAGTACCCAGAAGTCTTAAACATAAATAAATCAACTCTCTCTTTGTACAGCATTAAAATATTCTTTAAAATGTCCACTATAAAAAAACGCAAGTTTTACTGTGAAAGAATAGTAGAAAACGGAAGCATGTAATAAAGTTAAATAATGTTTTCTTAAAAACATCGCTTAACCTCATTATGCTTTCCACGCAGAGTAAAATAGGAGACATTTTGCAAAACTTCGAATTATAAAATTTTAAAACTTTTTTTTTATGTATTAAGACAGGTAATATATAAAAATATTTTTGCACGTTCAATTAATTATAATTATTTATTGACATGTTTCTCATAAAATAATAAGATTACCTTTTTTATTACCTTTTTTTATTAAAATATTAATGACAATCAATATTAGGTGTAATAATCTTTGGTAATCTTCTGAAACATATAAAAAAACATACACTGAGAAAAAAATTTACTAAACTTCAAAAAACGTTTGTTTGGATAGTACTGTGAAGGTATTTGTTTAAATTAAGTAATTATTTTCTAAAATTAAATAGTTTTAAATATAAATTTGTTTCTTTAATTTTAGAAAATAATTACTTAATTTAAACAAATATCTTCATAGTACTATCCAAACAAACGTTTTTTGAAATTTAGTAAATTTTTTTCTCAGTGTATATATCATATATATTAACATATATAAAAAATTATATGTATATAAATATATATGTGTGTGTGTGTATGTGTATAAATTATATTTAAAAGGAAATAATACAACTTCACATTTAAAAATTTTTATAATAACATAATCCAATTGTGCCTTTAAATGTATAAGTTTGGATTAGATAATATTAAATATCATAGATTATTGCATGATATATGCACAAAATACTTAACCGCAATGATGAGTGATTTGGAATTGCAGGCGCGATTTTACGATAAAAGTCCAATTGCGTATCGCATTGCGATTCAAGAAAAGGAAAGTGCTTGCGATATATCGCAAAATTGCACATCCTTAAAAAAATCAAGTTTTTTGCCGGCTCGAGTGAATCTATCGCGGAGTATATATGTTTCATTACGCCCGTATCGATCGCGTACTTCGCTCGAAGATTAGATGTCCGTCAGATAATAGTAATCGTGACTCCGTCGCTCTAACGACTCCAAGACTCCGCGCGATATGGCGAAGTTCGAATTAGTTTTGACTCTACCGAGACCGGGGAAAAACCCGAGCCTTTAAAGATCTCGTAACCGACGCAGCTTTTAGCGCCGACATAATTTATTGGCGGGGCAGGCAATCGGCACGGTGCCCGCACAGTTCGCGATAAAAGCGCAAATCTGAAGCAAACAGGAAGAGAATTGCGAGATCGCATTTGATGTTTTATTTGTTGTTTCACTTGCTAACGTTCACCTTTGCTATCTTACTATATACACATGTTACATATTTTGCAACTGCACAAAAAGAAATGAAAGACTCGCGGAGTAATCTGGCGTTAACGATAAATTAGACGCGCGATTTGTAGTTTTTTTTTTAAGAATTTTACACTGAGAGAGAAAAATGTCTAAAAGATACAAAAAAAACATTTATTCGATAGGTATCAATAAACATATCTACTTAAATCTGAATTTTTTTTATTTAAACAATATTTTATTTAAATTTTATTTAAACAATTGCTTTCTTAAAAAGCTAAGTTCTTAAGAAAATGTATATTTTATTATTTTTTAAATTTTTTGCAAAGCAAAACAAAATACTTTTGTTAAGCAAATATGATATTATAGTACCCGTCAAATAAATATTTCTTACATATTTTCTCTCTCAATGTACCTTCTATCTCATTTGATGCTTGATGTTTCTTTCTTTTTTTTATTGTATTGGTGAGTAATATATTTCTTTTTTTTCCGAGGCACAATTCGAAATTTTCGTCTTGACGTCTTTATCGCGACGATTG